TGTGCACCATAATAAATTTATCTGTGGTCAGAGACGGAACAGCCACTAGATACAGAGGCTAGAAAATGTTGGCACTCACGCCTTTAATCCTAGCATTCCAGAGGGAGAAATCCATCTGGGATCTCTGTGAGTTCAAGGTCACATTGGAAAGAGCCAGGCATGGTGACACATGCCTTCAATCCCAGGGAGTGAGCCTTCAATCCCAGGGAGTGATGGTAGAAGGCAGAAAGATATATAAGCCGTGAGGACCAGGAACTAGAAGCATTTGGCTGGTTAAGCATTTGGCTGGTTAAGCTTTCAGGCTTCTAGCAGCATAGTTCAGCTGAGAGCCATTGGGATGAGGACACAGAAGCTTCCAGTCTGAGGAAACAAGACCAGCTGAGAAGTTGGCCAGGTGAGGTAGCTCTGGCTTGTTCTGTCTCTCTAATCTTCCAGCTTCACCCCAATAACTGGCCTCAGGTTTGATTTTATTAATAAGAACTTTTTAAGATTCATGCTACAGTTTATGATTTGGATTTTCCAATTTTTTCTTCTGAAAAAAAATTCTGTGGCAATGTTCTTTTCAAGTTTTCCCTCTTCTCATAGTGAAGAAGTCAAATGCACAGTCCTCATGACCATTTAAAAAATGTGGTGTGTAGGTAGAAGTTCAGGTGCCCATGGAGGCCCAAGGCACTGGTTCCTCTGGAACTAGAATTAAAGGCAGTTGTGAACTCCATGATTGTGAGTGCAGGGAACTGAACTAAGGTCCTCTGTAAGAACAGTATGTACTCTAAACCACTAAGCCATTTTCATGACCTTCTTGACATAATTGATAAAGAAACTTCTATAGCCGGGCAGTGGTGGCACACGCCTTGAATCCCAGCACTCGGGAGGCAGAGGCAGGCTGATTTCTATGAGTTCAAGGCCAGCCTGGGCTACAGAGTGAGTTAAAGAAAAGGCGCAAAGCTACACAGAGAAACCCTGTCTCAAAAAACCAAAAAAAAAAAAAAAACAAAACAACAACAACAACAAAAAAAACAATAAACAACAACAACAACAAAGAAACTCGGGGCTGGAGAGATGGCTCAGAGGTTGAGAGCACTGGCTGTTCTTCCAGAGGTCCTGAGTTCAATTCCCAGCAACCACATGGTAGCTCACAGCCATCTGTAATGAGATCTGGCTCCCTCTTCTGGCCTGAAGGGATATATGCAGGCAGAACATTGTATACATAATAAATAAATAAATTTTAAAAAAGAAACTCTTCTGTAATGGCAATCATTCATTTCTATGACTCCTTCTAGTCATAGGATTTAAAATACTGAATGAACTACAAAACTAACCCCAGAGATGAACACAATGCTACCCCGCCCATTTTCACTAGACCTATTTCAAGTAAATTGTAAAAGTTCCAAAAATCTACTTGCTGTTTGAATTCCCTCCCTTTCAAGGTTAGACTGCTCTTTCTTACAAAGGTGTGAACAAGGTTGAGAATCATCCATAAATGAGACTCCTAAAAACAGCTGATAGTTTCATAGTCAATGCTCCATCGCTCAATGTTCCCTCAACCAAGACCAACAATGAGTTCCCCTAATGTAGTTGAGTTCTTTGGGGGGACCAACCAGGCACCTGGCAGCAGAAATTGGATCACATCCACTGGAAGGGCAGCAATTTGTTTTCAGTTTAGTAGAAACTTACTTTTTCATGGATTTATTTTCAAAGCCATATTTCTGCTGGCTCTCCCACTTACTGGATTAGCTATCTGTTTGTATTTGCAATACTTCAAGTAACAACACTTCTCACCAAGGAAATCATCATAATACTTTGAACTAGTGACTATCATACAACATTGCTTCCCCAAGGTCAGGATTGGTAAGAGTCTGGAATTAAGAGCTGCAGTCTGCAGTATCTCCTCTTATGATTACTCATAACAAACCACTCTCTAAGTGTTTCTTTCCATAACCAGAACTTTGAGCTCTTCTGGTTAGAAAGTCTTGGTTCCCAATGGGAGGGATACTTCTCCAAGGATGAGACATTGGTTTTTGACACATTGAGAATTGAGATTGTCACCTGGCCATTTGACATTCTTTATGCCAGGAAACTTTGCAACCATAGATCCTACTTAATTGGCTGAATGACTTATGTGATTATCGAGTGGAAATTTTTATCAAGTGTTGTATTTAAACAAGGAGACCAGAGGGACTATGTTTTTTAATCCACAGGATCCTCAGGATATCTCCTGACAGTGAGATATCCAGGTAAGACCACTGGGGATCTAGACTTACCAGAAGGAAAGATTCTCAGCCTGCGGATCCTGACCCCTTTGGGGGTTGACCAATCCTTTCACAGGGGTCACCTAAGACCATTGGAAAACACAGTCATTTAAGATTCATACCTGTAGCCAAATTACAGTTATGAAATAGCAATGGAAATAATTTTATGGTGTGGGTGTGTTGGGGGGTCACCACAACGTGGGGAACTGTATTAAAGAGTTACAGCATTAGGGAAGTTGAGAATCACTGAACTAGACAAAGAATCTGGGTATCCTGGCTAGAAAGCAAATAGAGGAAAGAAATTAGACATACCAATTAGTCTTATGAGCAATCACAGAATATTGTAGTTCTGTTCTCCCTCTCCTCATCTTTTCCTGTCTTCCTTTTGTCTATATTTTATGCACATCAAGTAAAAGTTCATAAAGCTTGGCTTTATGATTTTTCTTAGCTTGTAAGTTATTGATATGGAATGGTACCTGATCTAGTAGAGAAATGACTATCCCAAAGACATGGCTACATTAAGTAATCGTACAATACAATGGAACCATTTATCTTTGTTTTAGGAGTGTTTTCTTAGTTTGTAGGAAAGATAATGACATTGCTTTGTGTGAATGTGTTGTTTCTTTCTTTCTTTCCTTTTTTTTTTTTTTTTTTTGATTTTTCAAGACAGGGTTTCTTTGTGTAGCCTTGGCTGACCTGGACCTCACTCTATAGACAAGGCTGGCCTTCAACTCACAGATCCGCCTGCTTCTGCCTCCTGAGTGCTGGGATTAAAGATGTGCATCACCACTGTCCAGTTGGATGTGTTATTTCTATACTTTTTCTAATTTTGTGTACAATGAATATGTATGTGTATTAAGTAGCAAGAGGAGTATTCTATGTGCCTCAACTTAGATTTCCCCTCTATATTTGGAGAGATAAGAAAGCCAAATAAAGATATTTAATTTTCTCTTACCTAGATTTCTCCATGAGAATTGGGTTTGGCTAATTATATAGGCTAGTATGAGACTTGAAAAATCAGAGAGGAGGCAGATGGTTGCAATGATAGAGTGAAATGGGGTCTGAGACATGAGTTGTCCAGCTTTGTGACAGAAACAGAGTCTCAGCCTCTGCTTTGCACTCTGGATGTGCCTTGAAGCCCTGACTAGTGGCACTCCTTAATTTCATTGCTCCTGTACAGCCAATGAGTTTGCTAAGAACCACCTTTGTGAAGTTAATCCCCTCCCCACATGAAACACCTCAAATGAATTCTTTTCTCTTCATTGATCCCTGGTTGTATAATGACAACAAATCCTGCCATATAGATAGTCCTCTCTCCCTAGACATTGTGAATGTGGTGTGATAAGTAAGTGTTTTGTAAATTTTTTATTTCTAAGTGTCATTTCCAAGGGAGACGCATCACACGAGGGGAAAAGACCATTGCAGATTAGGAAGCTGACCAGATGCCAGCAAACATCATGTGGATGCTATTTACATCTTGGATGCTAATTCTAACTTTATTATGGTGCTTTTCAGTTTTTAAAGTGTGTTCACAAAGAGCAAGTGTTGTTTAGAAGGATGAGACAGACAACTCCTGAGGCAGACAACTAACTAACTGCTGAGTGACTTCCTGAGTGTATGTTCTTTTTTTTTTTTTAAATTTATTTATTTATTATGTATGCAGTGTTCTGGTATATATACCTACACGCCAGAAGAGGGCACCAGATTTCATCCTAGATGGTTGTGAGCCACCATGTGCTTGCTGGGAATTGAACTCAGGGCACCATGTGGTTGCTGGAAATTGAACTCAGGGCCTCTGGAACAGCAGCCGGTGCTCTTAACCTCTGAGCCATCTCTCCAGCCCCAGTGTATGTTATAGAACAGGGGACATTATTGTTCTGTTTCTCATCTTACACATGGGCAAACTTGACTTAACAGTATAGTTTATAAGGTGTTTGTGTAGATGCTGTGAAGCACTTATGACAATGACTGGCATATGGTACTCAGTAAGGTCACAATAAATATTAGTTGTTTATTTTTGTTATTAGAGAACCCAGCACACAACCTGGCCCAATCAACTTTAGATTCATCCTTTAAAGCCCCAGAGTCAAAGAGGATGTAGATAGTACTACTTTTGAATTCGTATCATTTGTGTTCATTAGAACATTTAAACAGTTCTGCCCAGGCAACTTATCACTGAACACAATAATGTTTGGAAGAGGAGCATAAAAAAATCACAGTATTCTGAAAGCAACCAAGTGGAACAGGCAAGTGGAAGAGGAGTCCTTCTTCCTCTCTGAACTATATACATGACAGATGTGGGCCATAGGTTTTTGTTCTTGAACCTCTGAGGCCAACAGACCGACCCTTGTTGGCATGGCTTTTCAGGGATGGTGATGAAGGCAACAGGTTCCTTGTGATGCTGCCACTAGGTCACTTAATGCCTTTCCCGTGGGTGGGCTCCTTGCTTCCTTTGCTATGACTATGAAAATAGCACTCTAGGCACTTTGGTGAGAGCAGCAGGGCGTCCTGTTTGGGGTCTCCAGAGGCAGAGCCTCTTGTGGCACAGTAACTGCTCAAAGTGGTTTCCTTGACTTTGCTGCTTGTTTTTCGTCCCCGATGCCCTCTAGGCTCTAGAACAGCGGCTGGCTACTGTCCCTTCCTCAAGTCTAGGGGGGCGGGAGGTGGGGGCGTCGCTTGGCTGCTTGGGGCGGCGCTTTGCGAGCAGGCCCGCCCCGCAGCATCCCTAGCTAGACTTCCTCCTGCCGCAGGCGGCCAGCCCAGCTGGAGGAAGCAGCAGCAGCGGCAGTGGCAGCCACGATGAGCACGGGCGACGCCGTGTGCACGGGCTGGCTCGTTAAGTCGCCCCCCGAGAGGAAACTGCAGCGCTATGTGAGTAGGGGCGCCGACTCATCCCTGGCCTTCGTGTCCTCGGTTCTCTGCTTGTGGGGTGGCCGCGCGTGGTCCTGGGGAGTCCCTGGCTTTAGGCGCGCCAAACGTAGCTGTTCCCAGCGCCCTAACTGCAGGCGAGGCCAATGGACGACGGAAAGTGAAATCGCACGTCGAGCTGTGCTGCTGCTGCGCCCTGCAGCAGGCTAGCCTGGTACCTCTTGCCCGCTGTGTTCAACCGCTTTATACTACCAGTCAGCGGTGGAGGGAGGTGGGTTAAAACCCCCCAAAGTCAGTTTGTTTTCTGGAGCAGCCAGAGAGACATCTCTAAAGGGTGTTCCATTTCCCAGTGAGGACAACAGGGTGAGGGACAGGGAAGTGGATAGTAAGAGGAAACCTGTGTGGGCTACTTAGTGAAGCTGTTGCATTCCTCTTGGACTGTAATGAGTACTGTCATTGTAGCTATCGTAGGACACTCATGCTGGGAGCCTACCATACAGTGTAACTCTTTTCTCTTCATGTTCCTTCCCAGCATATTCTTGATGATGACACTATGCTTTTGTAGGACAGCAGGAACCATTGACATTTACTATTATGAAATAAGGGACACTTGGAAAAGCACATCTTTCTACACATTGTATGACCATCTTTAAGCTGCACACAACTCAAAAGTGCATTATATTTAGTGTTCTCAGGATAAGATCTTTAAAATATTCTGCTTAAAGACCTAACTGCTACTGATCTGTCTTTAGCCATTAGCAAAGCAAGAACCACTTTAGTCCCCAGGGAGCTGCATATAAATAGATATTAGGCTTTCTTGCCCCTTTGTGGGGGAGGGGGACTGGAAGTAGCTTGATGTATCCCTATCCTTCATAATTCCTAGTTTCCTAATTTCTCTGAGACACCAAACCATGCTATCCCGCTGAGGTTTGCACTCTGTTGAGGTATCCCACCCCAAATTGTGTTCTACCTGGTACTTGTGTTTATAGCTTTCCAACCAGTATCCCTATTTTGTCCTTATTTCACTAGTACTTTTCTGTTTCCATATTGAAGAGCATGTATCATGTAGAAGTTCAGGGGTGGGATTATAAGAAGAGTGCAATAATGCATGGATACTTCTAGAATCTGTAACAAAAGCTCTTCCTGAATATCAAGTTGCCCAGTGCTCCTCTCTCCTGCCCCCCATTTCTGGGTTAGACAGTACTTCACTCTTAGGAGTCTTTGGAAAGGTTTTTGTTGTTTGTGTTGCTAAATCAAAGAATGTTGTTCTATTTAGTATGTAGCCATCACAGATGCAGAAATATGAGCATTTCTTTGAATAATACCAGTATCCCCCTGCCCCCCCCTTTTTTCTTGAGAAAGGGCCTCTCTACATAGTCCTGCCTATCCTGGATCTCTCTCTGTAGCCCAGGCTGGCCTCAAACTCACAGAGATCTGCCTGCCTCTGCCTCCCCGAGTGTTGGGATTACAGGTGTGTGTCACCATGCCTGGCCCTGCATCATTTTTTTTTTATTCCACAAATTCCTAAGCACAAAGTACCACATCTGTCATCCTTTGCACCATCAAGTTGCTTCCCTAAGTTTTTGGCTGTTTTGAAGATGCGCTGATACCGAGGAGGCAGGAGGCAAAAACATGCTCCTAAGCGCTACATGTGCAGGTGAGGCTTGCAGTGCTGTTCCCTGGGTGGCTTTCCTTGCTGCCCTTAATAAGAGTCATTTAAAGGATTACTGGATATTTTCAGAGTGGCACAAACTTTCCAGTAGCTGATTCAGAAAGATGATGAATCTGGAGAACAAGGTTTATGGATGATCCCCCAACCCCCACTCCAATCTTGGTTTGTATTTTGTCTTCAACAGGCTGGTTTAGAAAAGTTTATTAATGTTTCATGATTTTGGGAAGACTTTGGTAGATCTTTTGTCATATGTAGTTTATTGTGGTGCTTTTTGTTGTTATTTTTGGTGAAATGGACCTGTGGTAAGAGTGGATAATGAATAGACTGCAGATGTGTGGAGTATATGATGATGGACAAGACTGAAAATAGAAGAGGACCTAGGTGACATATTACCAACTTTCTAAGGCGTAAACCTTGACTTTTTAGTCCCTGGTTGAGAACTTTTTTTTTTTTTTTTTTTTTAAGAGACTGCTTTTTTTTCTATCCCTGGAAAATCCCTCGGATTGGTAAGGGATGCAGGAATCCCCTTTTGCCACTAGAGGGCAACAATGAGACACTTCGACAAGGTCAGGCAGTGCTGTTAATCTGTTTAATTCAGCTCTTGTGAGTAGTTTCTACTTCCTTCCATTAACTGGGTGCCATCTCTAAACTAGGCTCAGTGTTTGGTGCTCAGAAGAAATAGAAAAGACTTTATTCTATTCCTCACACATTCCATAGTCATAGTATATTTAACACAGGAATGTAACAAAGCTAGTTAGCACAATTGGAACAATAACCCAGTTCTTTGTGTTGGCAGGCCATCAATGTTTGTATTAACAAATGGAAGCTCGGTCTGTTTTGAGGCAAATTTTTCAGTACATTGTATTTCATTTACTTGATTATATGAGCCAAGGCCATCAGAAAGTTAGTTTTTATCATTGCCTTTTTTTTTTTTTTTTTTTTTTTTGGAGGAAAGTTGATTCCTTTGTTGGGTTTCACAAGTAATCTAGACATTTATTCTTATCATCAGAATTCAAACACTGTAGGAATGAATAGAATGAAAAGTTCCCCCGCATCCTACCCTTCTCAGGATTGTCTCTAAGGACAAAAGATGTTAGCTGTGCGGTAGTATTCCAGAAATTTTCATAGAAAATACATAATTTTCTTTTCACATATATGGGATTGTCCAATAATTTTCTCTTCCTTTTTACAACCTGTCTATACATTGTTCCAAGTTAGTGCATATACATTGACTTCATTTTCAAACCACTGTGTAATATTCCTTATAATATATTTATTATAACTAGTTTTCTGTTGATGAACTTTTAGCTTACTTCTATTCCATTGGTTTAAGTAATGTTTAAATTGCTTAGAGGGTTAAGGAGATGACCAAGTCAGACCTGAGTTTAGGTTCCCAGCACCCATGTAAAAGCTGGGCACATGATGTATACCTATCATGCCAACAATGAGGTGGAGACATGAGGACGCTGGGGCGTGCTGGCTGTCCAGTCTAGCTGAATTGGTGGGTTCCAGGCTCAGTGAGAGGCACTGTCAGAAAAAATAAAGTAGAGAAGTGATTGAAGAATGAAGCCCAATGTAACCGCTGGACTTCACACACATGTGCAATGCCACACTAAGCTAATTTATTAACTTGTCAACATAACACTAAGAGACAGGTGTTGCCTTTGCCTCTGGATACAAAATTTTTTGTTGGATATGCAATATGCAAATATTTTCTACCACTCTATAATTTGTCTTTTCTTTCTCTTTACAGTATTGTTTTTTGGAACCAAGATTTTATTTTATTTTTTTTATTTGAGACAGGTTCTCATACTATAGTTCAGACTGACTTAGAATTCACTATGTAGTCTACATTGGCCTCAAACTCATGGCAATCCTTCTGCCTATGAAATGCTGGAATTAAAAGCATGAACTACCATGCCCAGCTAAGACTTTAACAAATGTGAAACTCAGAATATCAGATTTTGAATGTCTATTTTATTGACCAACTATTTGTTCATTTCTATGCCAGTATCATACTTTGTGATAAGCATAGCTTCATAAAAGTTTAGTTTCAGCCTTCTATCTTTGTTTTACTTTTTCTGAGTTGGTTTAGCCATTCTGAGTCCTTTGTTTTTCTGTAATAATTTTAAAATTACTTTGTAAATTGGTTTTATTGAGATTATATGCTACATCCTTGCTTAAGTCACTTATTAGTACTTGTGGCCTTGCTTGTACTTAGAAATTGCAGTATGATCAGTGTTTTATAGAAATGATGAGAAAAGACATCCTTCACATCTTAAGGATAACAGCATTTAATTTTTTAATTTCAAGTATTTTAACTATAGGTCTTTTTTTAGTTTGTTTTTTGTTGATTTATTTTTGGTTTTTTCAAGACCGGTTTCTCTATTTTATCCTTGGCTGTTCTGGAACATGCTCTGTAGACCAAGTTGGCCTTGAACTCACAGAGCTCTGACTGCCTCTGTCTCCTGAGTGCTGGGACTAAAGGAATGTGCCACCACCACTCAGCTAAAGTTTATTTGCATTTTATGTGTATGGGTGTTTTGCGGGCATGTATATCTGGATACCATGTGCATGCAGTACCTATAAAGGCCAGAAGAGGGAGTCAAATCCCCTGGAACTTGAATTATAACAGTTGTGAGCCACCCTGTGGGTTCTGGGAATCAAACCAGGGCCCTCTACAAGACCAAAAAGTGCTCTTAACCACTGAGCATCTCTCCAGCCGCAACTATAGGTATTTTGTAGACACTTTTTTTACCAAACTAAGTACGTTCCCTGTATTGCCAATTTACTGAGATTGTCTGTCTGTCTTTAGTTTTTTTGAGACAGGGTTTCCCTGTGTAGCCCTGGCTGTCCTGGAACTTGCTCTGTAGACCAGGCTGGCCTTAAACTCAGAGATCTGCCTGCCTCTGCCTCCCAAGTGCTGAGATTAAAGGCGAGCATCACCACCTCTCAGTTTACTGAGATTTTTAAAAAATGTGAATTGATACTTCTTTATCTATAAAGTAATAATTTGCTTTTTTTCTTTAGTCTGTTACTATGGTGGCTTCCTGACTTTTTATTTAATTTTTGCTGTTTTTGAGAAGGATCTTGCTGTGATTTCTTTCTTTGTGATACTGGAGATGGAACCCAAGGGCTTTCCACATGCTATTAGTAAGCACTCTATTACCAAGATACACCCCTAGACTTCTTTTTTTTTTTTCAATGCTGAGGCAGCCATGAACTCCCTGGATAAACTTCACGTGGTTGTCATGTATTCTTGGACTTGCTTTGCTAGTAGTTTGCTGAGGGCATTTGTACTTCCGTTCATGGTAGATACGGACAGTTTTCC